GGGAAGACCGCATGTGGTCATGATGCCTTCTCTCTCTCTCTCTCTCTCTCTCTGTGTGTGTGTGTGTGTGTGTGTGTGTGATGTGGGTGGATGTGTCCGCAGGTTGTGTGCAGGAGGAGATTCGTTTCGCCATCTCCCCCGAGTTGGTGGTGTCGCGCCTGCTGATGGCCCCCCTGCTTCCGCTGGAGGCCGCAATCATCACGGGCAGCAAGCGCTTCACGGCCTACGACGGCTACGCCAGCAGCTTCACCTGCACCGGCCTCTGCACCGACCCCGCCCCCGTGCACCCGCGCAACAAGGCCGTCCACAGCTTCGTCGTAGCCCTCGACGCGACCAACTTCCACCATGCCGACCGGTCGGTCCAGTACGGTGTGGGCAACATGCTGCGGGAGACCAACAAGGCCCTGGCGGCCGTGCAGTTCAAGGACGTCAGAGCAGACAGCCTCGCGTTCGCATCTGGTGAGTGAGTGATTGAGGGGGAGGGCGGTCGGTGGGGCGATGCTGGGACGACACACACGTGGTGTGCGTGTTTGGGGTGTCTGTCTGTGTCAAGGCAACTGGGGCTGCGGTGCGTTTGGGGGCGATCCGCAGCTGAAGTTCCTGCTGCAGTGGATGGCGTGCAGTGTGGCGGACCGTGCGCTGCACTACTACCCCTTCACGGACCCCCGCGTCAAGAAGATGGCCGACGTGGTGCAGATGCTGCGGCAGGGCCAGTGGACGGTCGGGCGGCTGTGGACCTTCCTCCTCGACCGCAGTGCTGACAGCACACTCAAGACCAAGGGCGCATTCAAGACGCTCTTCGAACACCTCAACCAGACATACGCCGTGAGTGGAGAGAGTGCGACGGACACACACGCGGAGATCCATGCAATGCATGCATCCCCCTGTGTGTGTGTGGTGGGGATTGACAGGAGGAGGAGGAGGATATTCCCGTGCCGATGGAGGAAGAGGAGGCCCTCCCCGCCGACCAGCCTATGGACGAGGCTGAGCTCTACTTCAGTGGACTGGTGGGTGGGTTGTGGGCAAACATCACCAGCACACAGAAACACACATACACACACACACAAATGAGTGCATCCAACGGTTTTTGTGTGTCACACAGGGCGGTGATTTGGATTTCGGCGAGGACGAGCTGCTGGCTGGCCCGCACCTGCCGCCCGACGATGCCGACATGGGCAACTACGAGCCCCCCAAGAACAACCATTCTGACGGTACGGACGCCCGACCATATGCCAAGGTGCCCAGTGCTGAGGAACCTGTTATGTGTGAGTATCTGTTGTGTGTATGTCGGTCGATCAGCTGTGATGCGCGACACGGGGCGCGATGAGTCGGGCATGGATCGCCAGGGGTTCGACGACTTCCTCCTGGCACACATGGGCGGCGGCAGTAGCGCCAGCGACGACAAGTGACAACTAGGGGCAACCAATATGGCATAGTGGAGGGAGGGAGGGAGGGAGGGAGGGGGGAGAGAGATGCTTAGCCATAGCGTGGTGAGAGATAGAGGGATGGGCCCTGCCTGCTTAGACAAATTGATTGGTCAGACGGACGGAGGCTTCCCCCCCAATCATCGTCCATGAGTGAGTGCATGTGGGTCTGTCTGTGTGTGTGTGTTGTGTACAGTGTGGTTGCCCGTCGGTCAGACGCTGTTCGTTCCATCCAGTCAGTATGGACACAATTACGGCATCAATCGCCGATGAGTCGAATTCGTGAGTCCATCGCATCCGCCAGCCACATGACAGACACAATCGCCATGCCACGCCACGCCGCCACACACACAGGCAGAAGCATGATAAATAGGCTCACTCATTCACTGACTGACGGCCACACCACATTCTCTCACCGACAAACAAAACACAAATAAACAAACCGCCACATAGCCATTCCAGTAAGGACCACTAACTCTCGGCCCATACTCAGTCACTCGATGGCGATTGCAAATTACTCCATCATCCCGTTGGCCGCCCCATGGTGTCCACCCGAGCTGCTCAGCTCGGCCTGCAGGGACTGCATCGGCACCAGCGAGGCGGGCTGCGGCGAGCCGGAGGCCGCGAGGGGGTTGACGGCCTGCAGACCCAGGGCATTGCCCAGCTCGCTGAACACACGCTGCAGCTCCTGACGCAAATGCCTTGAGTGGTGGGATGGGGTGGGACAGCAAAGCACACAGACAGATGGTGTGTATGTGTATGTGTATGTGGCTCAGCTCAGCTGCTCTGTTTGTTGTCTGTCTGTCTGTTGTGTTAGCTATGGTATGCCTTAATTGCCGCCTACGCGTCTTTGGATGCGATTGCCGCCGTCAGCTCAGGGAAGAGCGCCATCAGGTGGCACTTGGACCCTGCACAGACAGTACAACGACACACCACACACCACACACAGCTGATCTGATGCCCCCAGCCTTTTGCCGCCCCCTCCCCTCCCTGTCCGTCTGTCTGTCTGTCTGTCAGATGCGATGCTCACTCACCGGCGACTTTGCAGGCCTGCTGTATGTGTGTTGGGAGGATGTGTGCGTGGCAGTGTGTGAACACGGCGGGGTCGATGCTCAGCTGCCGCAGCTGGCCCAGCAGGAAAGACACCTCGTCGAGACGCGGCTTCGGCAACGGACACTGCACCGCACCAGCCAGAGCCACATGCCATGCAGCGCAGAGAGACATTTTGGCCGGCACCGCTGAGCTGAGCTGAGCTGACCTGTCCGCTGGTCATGTCGTCTCTGATGAACTCTCCCAGGATGGTGCGGCACCTGTCGAGCAGCACCGGCAGGGCCGCCGACGCCAGCACCATGTCCAAACTCTTCTCCGCGGCTGGCTGCTGGGGGGCTGGGGCTGTCTGCGTCTGTGTGTGTGGGCCGGGGGGAGGGGGGCGAGGGGGCGGCGGGCTGCAGATCTCAAACAGCCTGCAGTGCAGTCGATTCGCCGGAGAGGCAGGATCACACACACAGATGCATTGCTTGTGAGGTGAGCTGAGGTTCTGGTTGGTTGTTTGCCCACTCACTTTGCGAGTGCAGTTCGTGCGAGGAGCGGCCTATCGCGGCTGACGGCGCAGTAGTGGTCCAACACATGAATCTGCACCAACAAGAGAAGGCATTACTGACACACTTAGGGTGGTGCTGCTAATGCTCTCTGGCCAATGAGTGACGGACTGACCGACCAGCATGTGGAAGATCCTCTTAGCGTCAGGGATGGCGGCGGCCAGCCCCCTCCCGCGGCGCACAGTGAGGATGTCGCACGTCCTGCTCTTGACCACATGGTCATAGACCTCCCCCTCCTTGAGCAGCATCTGGTACTCAGCCCGCCCCAGGTGCTTCAGCCGCCCAACGTCCCACTCCAGCACCAAGTGACGCACCACCAGCCCCACCGACAGCCAGTACCGCTCAAGCACCTCCCTCTCCCTCTCCCTCTCTCGTGTAGCCGTCGTCACTCCTTCCCGGCCGCTCAGTGCCCGCACGGCCGTCATGGTGGATTGCAGCAGGTCGAGGATGCCCTCGTAGCCCAGCTTCCAGTACCCAAAAGTGCTCAGTGACGCGCCCGAGTGGGTGGACTTGGTGCGCACGAGCAGCAGGAAGGTGTGGAACAGGAAGGGGACGCACTCGAGCACCGTCCACACCCCCAGCAGCTGTGGCGAGGTTTGGCTGTCGGCTGGCGAGGATGACGGCGTGTCTGTGTGCTGCTGGGGAGGGAGAGGGGGAGAGGGAGAGGGCATCGTGGACGACGGCAGGAGAGGCCGTCTCGTTGCCGCCTTCCTTGTCTGCTGAGCCCCTGCCCGCTGTTGTCGCCTCTGCCGGCCGTCCCCTACGCCCACAGGCCGCTCGACCACAACCACGCTCCCCCGCTGCGGCAGGCTCACAGCCCGGCACACCGACACACCTGTCCGCCTGTCCACAGCATCTTCCATCTCTCCCCCGTCGGCAGCAGCACTCGCCGCTCGCTGCTGCTCGTCCGTCGAATCGGCCGTCTGCTGCGGCGCGGTGAGGCCGTATTGGATGGACGACGGGAGCAGCGGCGAGTGGACGCCCTTCTGCGCTGTGTGTGTGGGTGGAGGGGCGGGGGGCGGGGGAGGCGACGGGCGCCCAGGTGGTGAGAGTGTGGGCGGCATGAGGTCTGCGAGGATGGTGCGGACGGACTTGCAGATGAGGGAGAGGGTCTTGGCGGCGAGGGCCAGCTTGTTGCTGTCGACGAACATGATGCGCGGATGAAGCAGCACGTGGCACAGCTGACACACAACAGAAAGAAGATCACTCACACACACTCACACACACACACGCACACACAGGCGCTTCTTTCCCCTTAGTCTGTGCAGCAGACAGACCTGTTGCCATATCCTGGGCACGGCGATCATCACATGCTCCCTCCCCTCCCCCGCACACCGCCGCACCTCCCAATCCAACACAACAACGCCCACACCGCCCCCGCCATTGGAACCGCCATCGTCCACACGGCAATAATGCGCCGGCACCAGGCCGTAGCCCTCCCCGCCCCCACTCACAACATACGGCTGCCCCAGCAGCTTCTCAACGTACTCGAGTACGAGCGACTGGGGGTACGGCACGCGCAGCGTCGAGATGTGGTAGAAGTTCAGCTCCATGAAGTTCTCCTCGGGTGTCTGGGGGCCGGGCTTCTTCTTGTCGGCTTCTGGGGCGTCTGGGGGAGGGGGCGGGGGAGGGGAGGTGGCTGGGAGGGACTGCGGGAAGTGTTTCTGGTACTGGGCATTCTTCTGCACGCACTTCCTGCAACCAAGGGAACAAACGAGCCAGCAATGAGGTAGGAGTCTCCCTCTGATCTCTGCGCCCGTCTGCGTGTGTGTGTACCAGGGCGGCGTGGGCTGTTTGGTGTAGGCGTTGACCGGGGGCAGCTGCCCCCACCCCTCCTCCCTCCTCTCGTACGCCTCCATAACGCGCCACTCGTCCACCAGCCCCTCCCCATCCACAGAAAGCCGATCCAGCGACGGGGGCACATCCGTCCTTGCCCGCACATAGGGGTCGAACCGGTCGATAGTCGACCGCACGGACGGCAACCCCTCCTCAGCCAGAGCGTAGTGCCTGGAATGCTCGAACTGACGCTTGTAGGCGGCGAAGCAAGAGGCGTATGGCGGCGCTGAGAGGGGGAGGAGGGAGGGGTGGGGGGAGGGGGAGGTGAACAGCGATGGGAAGATTGCGGGGCCGTCCAGTGGGCGGCCGTCGGTCTCTGCCGGGGGGGTCGGCTGCACACACGGCGACACTGCTCCATCCACCGGCGACGCTGAGAGAGAGAGAGAACACGCGATGAGCGAGTTTCTTTCATGTGTGTGTCTTGTCTGTGGTCTGGTCTGTGTGAGGAAGTTCGGACCTTTTCCCCCGTGTGAAGGGTGTGTGTGCGGCAGCTGGACTGGTGTGGCATTGGGGAGGTAGTAGCATCTCGAGGTGAGGAGGCTGACGAAGAGCTGTGTGACCAGGAGGTGGTGCACGGGCTGCATCGACGAGGCGTGGCTCATCCGCACCTCACCCAGACTCTGAACCAGCACCTGCACATACACACACCCAACACATCACGATACTCACGGGCACATCCACCACCCCATGGATCCCCCCGGGCGTGGCGTACTTCAACGAACTTCTCGGGTATGACGTCCATGTGGCTTATCTGCTCGCCCACATAGCGGAAGATACTCCAGCCGCTCCCCCAGACGGAGAACCACATCCGGTCGCACACCACCACCCCCTCGCACGCCACGCACTCCTGCCAACCCCACCCAATTTCCATGCGAATCGCCGCCTGCTGCTGCTGCTGATGCGGCTCTTGGAAGGTCTCCCCTTGATCGGTGACGTCTGTGGTGTCACTGGTGGTGTGGTTATCGTTGCGTGTGATATAGATGGGCTGCTGGCTGTTGGGAATGCGGATCAGGTCGGCCAGCGTGCGGGCGGCAGCGCTGCTCACTGCACCAAGCAAGATACCCCACACAGACGACAGACATAGACAACATGTGTTCGAATGCACTGACTGACTGTCCGCCTGACCTTCGACAGAGGGCGCGGGGAAAGACCCCTGTGTGTGCCGTGCGTCGCTGGTGGTGTCTGCCAGCGTCAAAGCCGCCCTGGTGAGCTCCAGCAGCGCCAGGGCTGCCGGCGCGAGCGACTGCAGACCGACCACGGGCACATAGCCATTCAGCACACGGTACACCTGAAGACACAAAGACAAACCTCACCACCAGACACGTAGCCAGGTCTGTGTGTCTGACTTACCCCCTGCAGCGTGAGCACAAGAGTCTCGTCCCACTGCTTGACGACAGAGTCGCGGCTATGGTGGATGACCAGGGGGGTGGAGGCGCCCCCAACAGCATGATGGTGTGCGGTGGAAGGAGTGGTCGGCGCCGCTGTCCCATAGAGAGCCAGGTGGTACCGCTGATGAACCTGGTGCAGCGTGCGAACCAACACCTCCACCACACAGCTGCACACACACACACACAGAGAGAGAGAGAGAGATTTGTTCTGCGAACTAACTAACAGGTTCACCCATTCCCACCCACCCTGTGTGTACGTACCTCTTCCAATAGGCGGCTGGGAGCAGTTTCCCATGAGTCAGCAGGATGGACGTCAGTGTCCTCAGGGCGCAGTTCCTCACCTCCGGCCGGCTGTCGTAGCTGAGGCAGTGCAGCCACAGCAGAATCTCCGACCACAGGGCCTCGGAGGACGTGTCGCTCGTGTCGTCCTCCCGCCGCTGCTGGCGCTGGCGCTGGCCGGCCGTCTGCTTCTGCCGTAGGGTGAGGGTGTCGGTGATGTTCCAGAGGAAGCCGACAGCTCGGAAGGACGTGTTGATGCCCAGACACTTGGTGGAGGCGAAGGCGCCCACGGAGCTCACAAGACCCACCAGGCTGATCTGCATCGAGTGGAATGAAATGCAGCACAGAGTCATGTTGACTTGTGCGTGCGGCGCAGTGTGTGTTGTGTGGGTACGTTTGGTGGGATGTGTTCCGTGAAGTCCTGCAGGATCAGCTCGATCAGCTGGAAGAGCAGTCCGAGCGTCCGCCTCCCCAGCTTGCTGGGCGTCTTGCCCGCCACTCCCGGGCCGCCATCCATCTCTGCCGCCCCCTCCCCTCCCCCAGCCACGCCCTCGCCCTCGCCCTTGGTGGTGCCCTTCATCGACTCAATCTGCCGCTGGATGAACCTGTGTGCGAGCTCGAACGTGTCGCCGAACTCCTGTGCGGTTGCCTGGCCGATCCATTGGATGATCCAGCACCAGGTGGGGGAGCTGAGGATCTGACCCTTGGACTGCAGGAAGTTGAGCATGCCCTCCACCACCTTGAAGCGGACGTCCTCGAAGTTGGACTGCGTGAGGTCGCCGAAGGGCGCCAGCAGCAGGCACTGACAGTCGCTGAGCAGCGCCGCATCGAAGCCCTCACCCCGTTCCTCGGCGTCGGACAGACGAGCCGCCACCAGGACGCCCGGCATCCCACGGCCCTCGCGCGGCACAAACGGCTCCACCTCTGCATGAGCACACAGAGATGGAACGATGTTTGCCTCCCTCCTGTGGCCATGTGTGTGATCGGCCTCACCTCTGCTGCTCTTGTGCTCCTTGTCTTGGTCTTCACCCGTCTCCTTCTTGGCGCCCATGAGTACCTTGACGGCATGCTGCACCAGCTGCCACAGCCCCAGCACCCCCTGCAGCCGCGGCGAGGACGGCAGGCTCCGCGTGTTCCACACACACATCAGGTAGTTGAGCAGCAAATCCCATACCGCAAACAGACGCGGCAGATTCCTCCGGTCCAGACACAGCCCCACAAACACCAGCCGGTTGAGCGCGAAGAGCCACACCTGGCTCTCGCTGCCGTCTGCCAGGGCGTCTCGGTCGGTGTCTGGTGGACGGGATGATGGGGGGGCGGTCGATGAGGGGATGGATGAGCTTGGAGCGCTTGCCGTGGATGGGGTCCTCTTCGTGTCTTCCGTAGATGCGCGTGTGACGGGCGGCCGGTTGCGGGGAGCGACGCGCATCCGTCCAATGCCCCCGCTCTCGCCCTCCTGCTCATTGTCGTCGCCAAATGCGAAAGCGCCGCTCATGGACAGGGCCGGGGGGTTGTAGTCGGCCACTCGGGAGGCGTCCCTCTCGTCCGGCACATCCTCAACCATCTCCTCGCCAGCCGCGCTCTTCATCGACAGGTAGTCCTCAGACACGCCGATCACACGCGCCATCGACTGGGCGTCGATCTCGGCCTGCTGGGGGTCCATCTCGCTGGCGTCACGATCAGCAGAAGACGGGGCAGCAGGGGCGGATTTGTTGTTCTTGTCGCGTCCTAGGCCCTCGAAAAGCAGCTGTGGCGTGGCTGCCGTGGCGAGTGTGGGTGTGGGCTGGGAGGGGTCCTTGGGGTGGTTGGGGGATCGGGTGAAGGCGGCGGCTGGGGGCTGTGACGCATTCTGCAGCACCTCCTTCTCGATGTAGTACAGCAGGTGCTCGCCAAGCGCGCTCACGAAGTCGACCCAGCTGTCCTCCCCCAGGTAGCAGCAGGAGTGAAAGAGCGAGTCGAAGCCCGTCCTGAGCACCGTCAGCTCGGCCGTCAGCACAGCGCTGTAGCTGGGGCCGCCCTCAGACGGGCTCGCAACAACACTGGCTGTCCCCCCTGCCGCGGCAGAAATGCTCGTCCCACCTCCACTTGTGGGCGGTGGTGCGGCCGCCCCGGTGGTGGGCTTCTGTCCGGTGATCTGTGACGACGGGAGGTCGGTCAGGACGGCCTTCCTTTGCCCACACAGGACGGCGTACAGCTCCTCATAGGCCTTGAGCACGATGGACCACCCCTTGCTCCCCAGGATGCCCCCGAAGGCGCACGAGTGGCAGAGGTTCATCAGCGACTTGAGGCAGATGATCGACCGGCTGTCGAGAAACCGCTGCGGGCCGACCGTGGGGGCCGCTATCGACGCGTTGGGCGAGAAGGGGAGTGCGAATCGCGTGAGTGACTGCAGGGTGGCCTCCCGGGCCTGGTCCAGCTGGAACACCCCTACACAGCAGAGGAACGTCTGGAGAGACCGCAGTAGAGGGTGCAGCAGCAGCTCATCGGGCAGGCCGCCAGAGGAGCTGACGGCCGTGGTGAGCAGAAGCGTCAGCGAGGAGAGAAGAGGCGGCCATGTCGCCGAGAGGATGTCGCTGCAGTGGGTCTGGTATTGCGTGAGGGGGTGGGGGAAGTAGTCGACACGAAGGGCGTAGCCATAGCGGTGGGCGAACGCGGCGAGGGGGAAAGGGGTGGAGGCGGGAGGGGGGGCGGACAGAAGGGAATGATCGGAGGAGTCCACCACCCGATCGCTCTCCGCCTCAGTGGACGCTGCACATCACACCAACAACTTTACAGGATTGTTTCCACGCACCCCCCCGTGTGTGTCGGGTGCTCACCGTGGAGAATGAGGTTGTAGAGGCTGACAATAATGGTCAGCAGGTTCTCGACAGCCAGGCCCAGACAGATCGCCAGTGTCAAGCCCTCATTGGCCGCCCCGGCCACAACAGCTCCTGCCTCCTCCTTGGCGCCACTCATGCCGCCCCCCGCCCCCCCGGCTGACGACACACTCGCCTGTGTGGTCGGCTGCGACGTCATCTTCGTCTGGAGCAGAGCCTGCGGCACCTCAGACTCGCTCAGCAAATCGAGAAAACAGTACTTGGACGGCCGTGATGCCGCGAAGTGTGGCCGATAAGGCCCTCTCTGCTGCTGGCCGTCCTCATACTCGCCGTCAGCCCGCCCCATGTGAGCGGCGAGTGTCCGTGCCAGCAGGTGGGCAAACGAGGTGCTGAGGACGTTCTTGCCAACGGGGGTAGGGAAGGGGAAGGCGTATGGCATGGCTGCCGCGTGAGCATGCTCAGCGCCGCCGCCGGTGGTGGTGGTAATGGGCTCTTCCTGGAGCTGGTGTTGTTGTTGGTCCACAGTGGGTTTCCTGCTGCTGCGGCTCATCGGGTGGACTACGCCGGAGGTCGGCAGATGCAGCACGGGGAGTGGGAAGAGCAGGCACTGACACTGCACGGCGAGCAGCAGCAGCGCCTCCACTGTGGTGGACGTCTGCGGCTGCTGCTGGTGCTGGTGGGTGACCCCGCCGCCCCCGGTGAAGCACACGTGGTGCACCACACGCCCCAGACTCTCCACGATCTCCACCAACGGCGGTGTGGGTGAGGGGGAGGTGGTGCTGTCGCCTCTCTCCCTCGCCGCGGCGCCGGCAGCAGCATAAGGGGTGAAGAGCTTCTTGACGATGGGGGGGTTGTTGCCGACTTTTGTGTTGATGAACTGCAGCAGGAGGGCCGTTTGCCATGGGAGGGCGTCGGCGTGGAGATAGGGGAGGAGGACGGTGAAGAGGACCTGCATCTCGTCCAGGAGATGGTCGAAGTAGTGGTCCATCAGCAGACCCACCAGACGAAGACACCTGATTGATAAATCACACCGACACACACAAGAGGCAGGTCATGGGCACAAAGAAGGCAAAGCATGGTTTTGTGACCTGTGTGGCTGACCTGACGAAGACTGGGAAGTCCCAGCACTTTCTGAGGTTCTTGAGCAGCACCGTGCACACGTGATGCTTCACCAACAGGAAGAAATCAACTACCTGAACACACACACACACACACACCCCTAAGTCGCCTGCTGCCGTGTTCCCACTAACTAATGCGAGTGAGTGCCTGACCTTGAGGAACAGCTCAGGGTTGGTGCTGATGGTGGTGTGCAGCAGCTCCAGACACAGCGCCTTGGGCAGGTCCACCGGGGAGAGGTACACCCCTCCCTCGCCGCTATCCATGCCGCCCCCGCCCCCACCCCCACCCTGGCCGCCTGCTGCTGCTGCTGCTGCTGCCGCTGCCGCTGTGTGACCGTCCACCTGCACCTGCGACCCCTCCCTCTCTCTCTCCTGCTGCTGCCGGAAATAATACTGGTAAGACTGCTGACGGGACAGCGGAGATCTCGGCGCGCCGCTCCCTCCGCCGCTGCCCGTGACGATCGACATGCCATGGTGGCTGAGCTTCCTCACTGGCCCACTAGTGCCGCCCCCCTGCTGCACCTCTGGATCGCACAGAAGCGTCAGGTCCTGAAGGAAGAGGAAGAGCGTCCTGTAGGGGCGGGGGAATGCCGGGGAGGGGGGCGGCAGGTAGGGGCACACGCATGGCGGCTCGTAGATGTGGTGTGACGCCGACGCCCTCATCTGGGGGGGCGGGGGGCCCTTCCAGATGAGGGGCGATATCTGGTCGACTGACAGGGGCAGCGCCGAGTGCTTGGGTGAGGTGGGCGGGGGCGGGTGGGTCGACAGCGTGTAGTTGGCCGTCTCCACAAAGTGAGATGCCAGCTGACGCAGACCTGCACACACACACAGACACACACAGACACACATGTGGTGGATGTTTCCCTGCTGCCGCCGTGAATGAATGGATGGATGGATGGATGGATGGATAATAGACACGTACCTGCGCATGCCGTATGGTGCACGACGCTGCTTGACGAGCGATAGAGCATCTGGAACACCTGCAGCAGGCTGGCCACCACCAGCTCGCTCTCCACCAGCCCGACCGCCAGCGCATTGCCCGCATCGCCCTCGGCAGATGAGGGCGGCGACAGCAGCAACAGCGTCGTCTGGACCACCTTGAGCTGAATCGACTCTCCAGACGGCGTCACATTGGGCAGAGGGCCGCTCGTGGCCGACGAGGCGATCTGCGCGATGCCGCTGCTGCCCTCGCCGCTCGCTGCCGCGCCCTGTGAAGCGATGAGCTCTTTGAGAAGGTTGATGCAGAGCGGCAGCGTCTGTGGCGGGAGGATGCGGCACTTGATGAGCTTCTGCAGGCAGGTCAGGGACACCAGCACCAGCTTCGGTTGCGCAGTGTCACACGCCATCAGCAAACACTTGAAGACCTCATCAAAGGGGAACTGGTGATGGGACTGGGCCGCCTGCTGCTGCTGCTGCTGGTCTTCCTGCAGCTTGTCCTTGTAGTTGCGCAGCTTGAGGATGGCCTTCTCGACGCCCTCCTTGATGGGATGATGCTTCTTCTTGCACTCGGCCGACAGAGAGCGGATGTCGTTCTCCACGTCGACACACAGCGATAGCAGCGACGCCACAGCCGCCGAATCCATCGACAGATCTGGCTCACCAAACCGACGCGTCAGTCATCGAAACCGGAACGTAAGCATGGCAGGGGAATGGCACATCGCCGGATCTACACACCATGACGCAGATCCTCTGTGCTTGGCGCTGAGCTCGCAGACGTTCGGATCGCGCGGCGACAGAAACTCACCGCAGAAGGCGCGTGTAGGGGTGCCATGATGGACAGACGGCGGAATGATGAAGATCTCGCTGCAGGCGGGATGCATCACTGATTGAGGTGGGCAGTCAGGCACAGGGATAGATCAGAAGCCCTTCTTGCCATCTTTCTGTTCGTCCGTGTGTTTGTCCTATGCAGGGCGGCTTGACGCGGATGGGCTCCCTTCTCAGCATTTGCCTTGGATACACAAGCAGGTTAGGTAGAGCATGACGCCACGCACACTGGCTGGCAAAAGGCATGCCGGCGCAACTATCAATCATCGTTTTTCTCCATTGGATCTCCGCGGTCAGGACTGTGTGTGCCTCTGCACACGGCGGCGAGCTGGTCGACACGGTGCATGATTTGGGCACCAGTCATGGGAGCATACGGCTGGCCGACGGGATCATCTGTCGAACTTTTTCTGAAGAGCAGCAAGTGAGGGACCTCATAGAGCGTCATGGGGCCGACCCAAATCATGCGCCCGGGCTGCGAGCGCCAGGCAGCAGCGGCCGGGGGGTTCAGTGTCCGCTCCTGGCGCTTGCTATTGACACCAGCGACACCACCGCGGTGACCATCCACATGGCGGATGGTCGCCACGGTCATCGGCGGCCTCTCGCCTTGCCCAGGTGGTCGTCTCCTGAGTTGCAGGCGGCCATCATCAACGCCCTCATCGACGGAGGCGCCAACATGCAAGGGCTCATCAGGATGGCAGTCTGGTGTGGCAACGAGAGCGCTGTGAGGGTCTTCTTGGCGCGAAGCGCTGCGGTGCGCCCCCCTCACGGCCCTGTCCTTGTCATGGAGCTGCCCTGGTCCATCTCCGACCGAGTCGGCCGTCAGGTATCCCTCGCTTATGAGCAGCGGCTGTTGTCAATCTACCGCCGGCTCATACAGCACGACGCCACACTCGCAACCGAACAAGAATTCAACGGCAATCTGATCTACAATGCAGCCCACAGCGAGCGAGGCTACTACTCGCAGGCCTTCATCGATTCGTATCTCGACCTGCTGGTGGACAACGGGGCGAGTCTGACGGCAGTGGATGGGTCTGAATATGAGGCGACGCCTCTGCACGTGGCGGCATTAAAGGGCTCTCGCTATGTGACCGACTACCTCTGCCGCCATGTGGCAGCAGCGGACATCGACAGAGAGACGACGGGCAGGTGGTACCCCAGCGAGACGCCCCTGTATTGGGCCGCCCGCAAACTCAATGAAGTGACTGAGGTCTCGCAGGGCGACATCATACCGCAATCCACGAGGGATCGAGCCACTAGAGCGATTCCCCGCCACGAGGCCACCATCCGCAGCTTGCTGAGAAGCGGGGCGGACATCGGCCGCATCCCCACAGACGAGAAAGGCCGCGAATGTCGCCAGCTGGTGCTGCCCCAGTGCACGACAGTCCTCAACGATGACGTACACACCGGAGCGATGGCGGCCGTCAATGCCGCCCTCGCCCCTCAGCGATCGCTGGCGGCCTTGTTGATGAAGTCCCTCCCCGCCCTCCTGCCCCACCTGCTGAAGCACCCTGGCACCCCTGCGGGCAATCGGCCCCCCGCCCCTCCTGGATACGGCCCACACGAGGCAGAGGCCATCGGCTGGCGCATCGCAGCCATGTGCTTCGACCAAGACGCTGCCAATGAAGCCATCACTGCCAACATCGGCATTCGGCACAGCGATATGGCCCGCCGTGTGCAAGCTGCCGTCAAGCATGTCGTCAAGTCAGCGGTATTTGCGGCCAGTAGCAACAGGGAGGTGGTGGGCGGCATGGCCGATGTGGGCGGCGTGACGGTTCGGGTGCCGCTGCAGTGCTTCGCCATTGCTCCTGGGGCCGACACCCGCTCGCAAGAGGTGGTACACACACGCGACCGTCTGGGGCTGCGTGAGGTGGTCCACAGGGCGCGGCTGGACGAGGCGGCCCGATATGGTCTGGAGGAGTCCATCGTCAAGGGCTTCAATCAGCATCTGGGCAACGACGATTGCCAGTTCGCTGGGTGGCAGCAGCTGGGCCGCGTCGACAAGGGCGGGCGGTGGGTGACGCTGGGCATCCAGTGAGTGAGTGAGTGAGTGACCGACTAACAGAAAGAGGGAGAGGGAGAGGCGAGGGCGGTGGTGTGGCCGGGACCTTTATCCCGGTGCGTGGTTTAAACAAGCTGCTGAGTGCTTCAGAGAGCGAGGGGTTTATGATGAATCAATCGCATTGGTGACGTACTGGATGCCATGGTTGATGCGTGGGGGGTGGACTTTCATTGAACCACCCACTGCAGCTGACAGACTGGTGTGTGAGTGAATGCATGTGCTGTGCTGTGCTATCAAATTGACTCACTCGTGCAAAGACACTCTTTTCCTTCACGCAGGTGCGTCCATCCAAAGAAACGGCACGCACACTATCTAGGTCTGTCTGTCGTTTCGTTCGCTGCAAACAGCGGATCTCACAAAGGGTACGTGGTCTGTCTGACTGTTGTCTCAGTGACAAATATGAACAGCTGATATAAATGGACTTCAATGGGCGACAAATATGTCTCGTGTGTCTGTTTGTCTGTGTGTGTGCGTGTGTGTGTGTGTGTGCAGCCAGCACACGGCCCTCCCGTCTGCCCTCTTCCCATCCGACCACCTCCCCCTCATGGCCGAATTCGCCATGCTCGCACCCCAATGAGTCAGTCAGGCAGTGCTCCGTCGGCTGCCATGTGGTGGCCCCTCGGCTGTCTGTGTCGCTGACCGACGACCATTCTCATGGGCAGAGGTGTCCGGGTGCGGGGTAGAAGGCCGTGATGGGCACGAGTATGCCCGTGTTGACCTCCTCGAACAGCAGGTCCAGGAAGCCCGAGGGGATGCCCGTCGTCGAGCGGATGCGCGACTTGTCACCGAGAATCCCTGCACACAGACAGACACACAGAGAGGGGAGGGGCGTGGTGACTGGATGGGAGCATGTGCATGTTCGTGTGGACAGACTGTATAGCTTCCGACTGACCTGTAATATTGCCCGCCAGGAAGGCCACAAATTCGCTCTTCTCGTTGACATGGGGGTCGAAAACGATCTCAGCCAACGGGAATATGGCACTCAACATGCTGTACCGACCTGCAGCCATGAGAGAGGATTACACACACACAGACGCACATTCTCTCTCACTGAGATGGGACGCATGCACCTGAGTAGGCGGTGACCATCTTGAGCTCTGCGCCTGCCTGCTGCAGGTCGTCAAACGTCTTCCAGCCTACACAGACACAAGACACACACACACACGCACACATGAGAATCATTGCAGCGACACACACGCAAGCGTCCCTCACTCTTGAGTCTTGACACGGACACAATGTACTGATTTATTGCGGCGTCGCAGCCCGAGTCGAAGGCCACAGTGCGGCCCATCATGCCCTCAGGCGACGTCCTCTCGCCTATCAGCCCGCCCTTGGCAAACCACGGCAATGTCAGGTCGACATTGCCGCTGTTCAACTCCTGCCAGCCATCAGTGAGACACCGACAGTCGCCGTGTCTCACTCCCCCACTCACTCACCGCGAGTGTCTCTGCCTCCGAGCTGTACTTGATGACTTCGATTCCCAGCGGCTCGCCGATGTAGTGCCGGCCAATGGTCGCTGCCTCGGCCCGGGCGATATCGATGGCCGTCCGAATTACCGGGGGCTCCGCCTCCTCTTGCGGCAACACAAAGGAAGCCAACTTCAATGACTGACAACAAAGGGCAACAGAAAACGTAAAAGGCTGTCTGTCTGTCTGTCTTTGCGTCCTTCTGTGAGTGCATGTGTGTCACCTTGCGCTCGAGTGCTTTCTGCAGTCTGCTGCCGTTGACCACCGGCGGCCATGGGAACTGAGCGGTGTCCAAACCACAATCGATTGCCAACCTGACACAAACGATCACACAGACAAACAGAGGAGAGTGACAGTAAAAGCACAAAGGACAATGGCCCATCTTCCCTCACCGGTAGTTGGTCTCTCCCGCCCCGCCCTCCTCGACGGGCGCCGTCCACCTGGCCATGAGACTCTGGTTGCCCTCGGCCGCCTTGAGCTCCGTCAGTGCACGATTCATGGCAAACATGACGCTGCGGTCGACCAGACACGCCGACCCGTTGCCGGCGGGGTAGTAGAGCGTCGTGTTGACCGACACCACCGGCAGGGACGGGAATGCCTCAGTGAGGCAGGAGGGCGGGAGGGAAAAGAGCAGCAGGATGGAGCAGAGCAAGAGGACCAAATGGATGGAGATGCCGACATCCTGCGATTTGACGCCGCTGCGCAGCATCAGTCGACTCGCCGGCTGGCGTCTCCTCAAGCCCGGGGGCCCCCGCCCCCAACTTGAACTTTGAATGATTCTCCCTTCCCTCCCCCGATGACGAGTTTCAAGGACCTCATCGACCGGGCCAAGCCCTCTCTGGACAGCCCACCGCCCTCAAGTTGGCGCAGCTCGGCTCCCTGCTGCCACACGACGTGTGGCAAGGCGTCAACATCAGCCGCAACGAGGTGACTATTGGATCATGGGGGAACGGCGACACGACTCCCACTTGCTGTGATCTGTGCGTCCAGGTGGATTTCAGGAGGCCCGGCAACCACATCGTCAGTACCCTCACGGGCAGAGATGGGGAGACAGCTTCTGACAGGCACTAAGACGTCTGACCTTGTGTCGGCTGTGTGGTGTGTGTTGATCTTCTCAGCTGTACCGGTCGGGCTGGCAACCCCCAGCGTGCCACTTCAGCCACGGGTCGGCCGAGTGGACTGACCGTGAGTGCCTGTCGCTGGGGGGAGGCCTGTGGTACATGCATATTCCGAGGAATATTCAGCACCGGGTAAGCAGAGGCGTGGGAGGCAGCTAGGGGATTCAAAGCATAAGTATGACGATGCGTTCAACTAAGTCATGTCATGCAGGAGGTGGAGTTCGTTATGTGTGACGCTAGTCGAAGCCAATGGGATCACCCACCGTCACACACTGGAAGTCAGTGATTCACTGTGTGTGCACCTCAGTCCAGGGATGCAAGCAAGATATATGATTCACTGTGACAAGCTTTGTCTTGCTGTGCTGCTCTGCTGTGTTCCTCAGTGCCCAACTACCCCGTTTGGACAGAGGGGGTCTATATGTTGAGTGACGGAAGCCTGAAATCCCTGAGAAGTGACGTCGGTTGGGATTATGTCGGTAAGAAGCTGACGAGAGACAGACGGTTTTTCATCAAAAATCCAGCTTCTTATTGGTTCGTCAGACTTGCTGTTCATCCGCGACAAGGTGGCGCGAGAGGCAGCAGAGGCGCACGTTCTCTACTTCACCGGCTGGACCCCACCCCGCATCCACTTCCGACATACCAACAGTTGCTGGACAGAGCCTCCAGGCATCGTGTGCAATGCGTTTTCCGGCCGCGTGTGGCATGCGCAAATGCCATTCCATAGCGTAAGCTGCACATCGCACAGAGACCCACGAGTGGGCGAAATGTGCTTTCTCTTATGCCGAATGTGTATGTGTCTCCACTCCACTCAGGGTCTTGAGTTCGTCCTAAATGACGGGAGCGGCTCTTAGGATCACGCTCCAGGAGGTGAAGGAAGCACAGAGACAAAACAAGCTTTAGGGATGCCACACGGTCTGGATATCCTTCTCTGCTTGCCACTATGGTGTGTTTGCGTATGCCTGCAGGTGGCAACTACGTTCTCCGAGACGCTGGCCTGTACTTGCTGGTTGACGGAGAAATCCTGCGGCCGGAGTCTCTTCGTCATCGGCAGGACCTTCTCCGGTTTGTTGTCTCTGGTCTGAGGCCCGCGTTGAGAGAGGCCTCAGGTGCGACACAAATGCGATGAAGTGATTGATTGATCATCTGTGTCTGTCTTGTTGTATGGTTGTTGTAGCTGGCCCCTTCGTGAGGCCAAGCGCAGCGGTCTCACCGACGGCCAGCGACACGTAAGTGAAGCCAAGACTGCTGCTGAAATACTGAGAGGGAATCGTGTCAGCCATGTGGTCTATCTGCTTGTTGATCTGGCTGGCTACAGGACCAGGGCGACCGAGACACCGACCCTGCCGCCCAGCTCTCCGCCACCCAGCTCGCCATCCCACATGTCGGCCAGGGCAACCGACACGTGAGTGGCAGAGAAAACTGACGAAAATGCACCTGATAGACTCGACTGTTGCTTCTCAGTGTAACAAGACAGACGCCAAGTGCGACGATCGGACAACTTCTCGTGAAGATCAAGGAGTTGCGGAAGACACTAAGGGGGCTGTCCGACATCTCCCCGGAGGAGATATGGGCCCACGTTCGTTCCCTGGTCATGTCCCATCAGCTCATCCGCCTACAGCCGGTCAACTCACCCGACCAGCCCACAGCAGCGAGAACTGCCGAAGCACAGCAAGCGACGTTCGACTGGGCCGCCCAATGGCATCAGGTTGAAAATACGAAGGAAAACACACTATGTCACTTGTCGTACGTCTTGTGATGTTGCAGGCTGACGATACAAGAGACCTCCAGCGACCGGGGGTGCACCTCTACTACACACTCAAGTCAAGCAAGAGCAGCAACAGCAGCAGCAGCACCAACACCAGCAGCAGCGCCAACAGCAGCAACCGGAGCCTGAGGATGCCGAAGTGCGAGTACATTGTGGGCTGCGTGGAAAGTGAGTCAGGGGAGCCGCTGTACCATCGTCTGGACAGCAAGATGTGCGGGCAGCTCACCAATGAGCTGTGGTACGTCCACATCGACCGGAAGGTGAGAGAAGATGGGGAGGGAACGGATGTTGGGACGGCTGGCTGAGTGTTTGATTCTCTGTCAGTCGATGTATTTCATCATGGGCATCACCGAGGGGGGCAGGGAGAAAGAGTGGGACGCGCCGCCCTTCCACACCGTGACCGACACAGACAGTCGAGACCGCCATCCCTTTGCACGGGTGTGTAGTCTGGAAAGCTACTATTCCATCAAGCATGAGGGGATCTATTTGCTGCATGAAGGCGTCGTCCACACGCTCTGGCCGGAGGAAACCATCATTCGTGAGGCGTGTCTCGGTGAGAAATGACCACAAAAGAAGACTGTCGGTCCCAAACGTCTTCAAGTTGGTCCCCTTCAGACATTCTGTCGCTGCTCGACAAGGAGGCCATGACAGCGAACAGTGCCCACATTCTTTACACGACCAGCTGGAGGCATCCTCGCTGCCACTACCGACGAGCAGACTTCATTTCGAACATTGTGAGGGAGGTGAGGTGGACCGGTTCGCCCGGTGTCAGGTGTGAGGGCGTCCCAGAGGGCGAAGGAGACCTCTTTCACATCTCGATGGCCTGGCACGAGGTGAGGAGACGCGGGACACACACTCTGCTGTCATCTTTGTGTCGCTCATCGTGTCGTCTGTCTTGTCAGAATCTGCGCATTCTGTTCAACGATGGCAATGAGGAGAAGACCGTCTGGGATCATCCTCGAGGCGAGGCTCTGCCCACAGCAATTGGGGCCAGTAATGGTTCGATTGGGCTGTGTCTCCCTCTTCAGATGGCAGCGGCGCCTATGTGATTCCCTCGCCGGGCCTTTACGTCATATCGCAGAGCTGCATGTACTCGGCCTCCACCTTCAACGCGGCTGACGATGGCCTCCTTCTCCACATATACCAGCTGCTGGAGGCAAAGACAGCCGACATGGCCAGTAAGCAACAAGACACGAACAGCCCGAAGAAGTCAGATGAGTCTTTGTGTATGTGTGTGTGTGTCTTGTGTGTCTCAGCTGCCGACGAGCATCGTGAGACGCAAGGGGAGCTCCGTGCCTTGGCCTCGAGGCTGAGCACAGTGAGAAGCCAGGAAAGTCGTCCTTCAGCGGCCGGAGGGGAGGCATTCCAGAGGCGACTAACATCCATCGTGGGACTTACAAGACCAAGACATAGGGCATTTTTGTGGCGTGGTAGTACGTGCGCCTGTAGGATAGGACATGGATGCGATGAGTTGCAGTCGGGTTTGTGCCGTGAGTGAGGGTTCTGTTTGCTATTTTTGCGTTGATGGAGATGTGACACTCACTCACTCACTCACGATAGATGGGATGGATAACCTATGTATGTATCCTTCGAGAGGCACACCGCCAGCCAACGGCTCGGCGACTTCTTTGCGTGTGTGTGTGTGTGTTGGATGAAGGCTGGCCAGCCAAGCTTTCACTGCATGTGTTTCTGTGGCTGTCCATCGACTCATGAATGCAGCCCGGCACAGAGACAAATGAATGGACGAGCGAGCTGCTGTTGGTCCGCCGGGCACACCGTCGGCTTCGCCATGAGCGTGACAGGCAGACACACACCATCCATCCATCCATGAAGCGGCCCAGCAAGGCAGCAGGCAGACGCCACGCACACACCGATGCCCTCCCTCCCTCCCTCCCTCCCTCCCTCAATCGCTCAATCCCTGTCTGTATGCGCACAGACAGACAGACAGACTTTAGACAGGCAGACAGAAATTGCACACCGACCGCCTTGAAGGTAAAGGTTCAATCACCCATCGCATCTGTACACAGTCCGCCACCCTGTCCACCTGCAGCACAGATTCAGTCCTGACACACAAGGCATGACACACACGTGGGAGTCGTCCATCAGGCAAGTGTGTGGTGGCGGGAGGGGGAGAGGGTGAGGTGTGTGGGCGGTGTGGTGACCTGCAGGGGCGGGGCCACCACCACCACCAGCAGCTGCAGGGGGGAGAGCTAGGCCAGCTGGTCGCCGAATACCAACACGGCGTCGGCCCCCATGACCTACCGCGCCACCCTCACTGTCAGTGGGAACCTGGCGGCACCCTCCCTGCCGGCCACCGGTCGCTCCGTCGTGTGCAGGTAGGCGCCGGCATAGTTGAAGTCGCTATAGATGTAGAAGTGTGCCTCGAAGGTGTGGTGGGGCTGGTCGCCGTGCAGCACTATCACTTGGTAGAAGAGTCCTCCTGCCGCCGGACAGTGGTTGGTGCTGATAGTGCGGCATCCCCAGATGGGCGGCTGCTGAGTGGCGAGCTGCCGCTGAAGAGAAAGGCAGATTTGACAATGAGCGAGTGGGGAAGCTGGTGAGAAAATCGTGTGTGTATAACTGACCAGTCGGTAGAACCGTGTGGCATTGACGTGCCGGTTGCCATGCAACCTCCGACCACGCTGGTGTGCAACCTCCGACCCTCCCCAATGCATCCTGATCAGACGCATCACGGCAGAGCGGTGCAGCAAATGTGTTCGTGTGTTCGTGTGTGTCATTCTGCTCATGTTTCTCACTCGTCCAACACAGCGTCGCGGACTGAAGCGTAGTCATCACCTGCACACACAGCCCAATGGTCCCCCTCCTATAGCTCTGCCCCCTCTCCCTCACCATGATACTCACACACAGGGTTACCATCGTCGAATCTGTAATTGCGGAAGGGATGGTTGGCCGGCAGCGTCTGCGGTGTGTGGATGGTCAGCCGACGCCCACCCAGCCGCTCCTCGCCATTGTTGACGCGCTCGAGCGTCATGCCGATGTGGCGGCCGATCAGTGAGAGCTGCCGCAGCGCCTCACACCGGCTGTCGTATACCGCCCGGCTGCCCACCCCCTCCACATCAGCACTGGTCAGCTCTATCGGCAGCTGCCCGCCTCCCCGCCCCTGGTGCTTCGCCACTCTCACGATGGGCACCATTGAGGCCCACTCGCCGCTCGTGTCGATGAAGTACGCCAGCCGCAGCAGCAGGTCGATGGATGTCAGGTCAGGGGAGAGGGTGATGATGCCTTCGATTCCCTTGGCGGCCAGCTGGGAGTCTATTTTTTCCTTGACGCGCTGCAGGAGAGTGCTCTCGATGGTCTCCTTGCTATGGTGCAGCAGCTGCTGCTGCTGGGTGAGGGGGCCGCTGGCGATCTGTGCGATGAGTGCGCGTCTGATGGTATCCGAGCGGGCGGCCTTGCTGATGAGCAGGGGTAGCAGTTCTTGAGGGCTGGTGGGGCGGCCGTGGCCCGACGATGACATTGCCTGAGGGATAATATATGAAACAACAAGAGACCACCGTCGTGGCATATGATCTGTGTGTGTGTGTGCAGTCTGAAGACTTCACTCACAGGCGGCTGCGGCAAGCCGGTTCCATGATCATCATCAGCAGCTGCTGCAGCGGATGAAGATGACGCTGCAGCCGCCATGGCTATAGGTCGACAACGAACGCCTGAAGCATGCAAGAAGATCAGCAAGACGATGAGAGAAATGCACGTCCATCCATTCAATGGCATTCATCCTTCTCATCTCTCGATGCTCACCAAATTATCGGGGAGTACAGCACCTCTCAGCGCGGCTTCTCATCGCAGAGCACTCACAGTGAAAGCAGTGAGGCCACGTGCTGTCCACACCTCGTTTCTTCCTCGCTCACGAGCTCGCATCCGCGGCAGAAGAAACGGGTCTGCGCAGGGAGGAGATTGGGAGGAGGGGCATGCGCAGAGATCTATGCATTCCCCTGGCATCCATTCATCCATCCATCCATCAGGTGTGCGGCTACACTTGTGTTGAGCGCCCCCCTCGTTCGTTGCCAGCGTTCACACACATGTTCCCCTCCCTGACGCCTGTGCACAGATGTGTGTGTGTGTGTGTGCTGTCAGATCTTATGGGCAATCTGAGGTGGAGCTGAGGTGTCGGCAGCAGCATCGACACACAGCTGCATGGAGGCTGCCGAAATCGCCCACACGCACCTGATCACCTGAGCAGTGAGTGCCAAACTGAAAGCACTAACGCACGGGTGGGTGCCCGTATCGTCTTTCTCTCTCTCTCATCGGTGCAGGTGGCTGATAGTGTCCTGGCAATGGACACAAGTAGCGATGGCGGCCCCGCTGCCTCCAGAGGTCATAGCACACTCATGCACACAGCCACACGATGCATCGATAGACGTGACCCGTGTGGTTCATTCAGGGAAGGAGGGCGGCGGAGTGAATGGCGATAAGGATAGCTTGCGGGATGTCATCGATCAGATACACTCGGTGAGAAAAAGATGAGAGGGACGGGCGAGCTGCCAGCAGATGTATGCTGTGGATGGAGCAATTGCTTGTTTTGCTCTGTGCAGGTCACCTCACGGATGGCCGCCAAAACTGAGGCGGCGGATCTGCAGATATCAGATGCCGACAGCAACACAGAGGTTCGCGCTGGAACAAGCCACACGTGCAGCCATTCCATCCCCACATCTCATACCCTACCCGCCTCTGATTGTTCTTGGTGTTTTTGTCTTTGCCGACAGGCCTGTGTATCGTTGGCTGCCCGTTTGTCCGGTCTGCTGGAGACCCTAACAGATGCCGACTCGACGCTCAGCAATGAGCTGGCGCAGATCCCCCCTAACACCCAAAACAAAGAGGTGGGGACGGACTGACGAACAGAAGGCGCACCCAGTCAACATCTCTCCGTGTGTCTGTGCGTGTGTCCATCATCAGCGCAAGGATGGTGACGGCAGGTTGGTTCGGTGGCTGTACAACATCCACGATGAGGCCAGCAAGGCAGTGTACCTCAGCAAAGCGGTATACACACACATGAATGCAATTCAAGTACTGATGGACCGCCTCACGTGGTCATTCAGGTGTCTGCTGGTGACGGGAAGGGCTCACAAGTGGGAGCCAGCCCGGCTGCCGCTGCCGCCGCGAGTAGTGGAGGTGCGCATGACACATCCCCCCACCCAATGTCTGCAAACATCTTAAGGGTGGCTGTGATGGATGGTCGTGGTCGTGTGTGTCTTCAGGTGCTTCGGTTGGCGTATTCGGTGCTACAGCAGCAGCAGCGACACACCAGCACACGGGAAGCTCACAGGTGACACATGCACATCAACACAGGACGCGACCATCCCCACTGACGACATGCCTTATCCTCCCGTGTCTGTGTGTGTCAGGATCACGGCCGTCCGTGTCTGCCGGGTTTGCCAGCAGCCGTCATGGGCACCATGGGTTCCTTTTTGACCACCATCGACAACATCACTCGCCTGACGCGCGTCAACAAGGAAACCCATCAGAAGGCCACAGACAGCACATACGGCGTCTTCCGACACTTCGCCGTGACGAAGGACGAGGAGGGCAAATACAACAACATTCCCAAGCTGCGGGGCGTGAAGCACCTGGTGAGATGGGGGTGCAGTGTCATTGGCAAAGCTGTGGCACGTGACATTTGTTGGTTCGGTGTCTGCGTGTCTGCGTGTGTGTGTGTGCAGGGCAAGATCCGGACGGCCCATGTGGAGGCTTCGCGTGTGGTGCCGTGTGTGGCCGAGCTGCTGGAGAGTTCCTCAGCGGGGCTCGAGCAGCTGCATGTGGCAGATGGCGAGAAGGTGCGATGGCAGGACGACACAGCACCGCGCCCCCCCGGCGATCCCGTCCCCTTTCCCAGCCTCACACAACTAGATATCCAGTCACAAAAATGGCTCAAACACATCAGGTATCAACACAGGAGAGAGAGAGAGAGAGAGTGCATCCATCACATTGTTGGCTTCCTTTGCTCATCTGCAGCCAGCGTCGATGGGCCCTCCCAGCCCTCACGAGCCTCAAGGTGGACAGTCCCTCCCGGTTCGACGGATCATCGGGGTCCTTCACGCGCCTCGTCGAGAGGTCGCCCAAGATCGAGCGGCTGGAGGCCGGGTTCATTCATTTTGGCGACGACGATTGGCCCAACTTCCTCGTCGCCCTCGGCGGCTGCCCCCACCTCACTCACATCACCGGCCTAGGGATTCCCGGCAACCAGCTGGACCGCATCAAGGAGCTCAAAGAGGCCCTCAACAAGCACTGGGCCAAACAGGAGCGCAAAGGTGACTCGAGTATGAGCTAGATACGGGCAGCAAACCATGATTTGACTATCCTCTGCTGTTCTCGTATGTGCAGGTGTGCGCAAGAAGCTGGGGTTCGTCGTGTCTAGCACGATGATCCACGCGGACTGCCGGCAGGGGGCGGCCGACTTGCAGGGTATCAGTGAGTGGGCAGCCGAGGTGAGCTGTGAGCTGGAGTGGCGGCCGTTCGGCGACTCGCTGACGGTGGACTGCAGCAGTGACACTGAAGAAGCCTCGTGTGCGCCAGACGGCCTGTATGGAGAGATCGCAAAACAGCTGGCGTCAAAGGCGACTGAGGTCAGGAAAGGAGAGACAGGGGAGGTCCAGTGGATCTCTACGTGACCTTGTGTACGTGTGTGTCAGGTTCGGCTCGCGCTCGGCGGCACCACACTGCACGAGTCATGGCGTGACAAGCTCATCTTCCCCAGGGCAAGTTCTCTCGGCATCGAGATCAAGGAGAGCTCGAGCGGCTCGTCCGTGGTCGACAGCATCCCCGAGTGGCTGACTGAGAGGGAGGGAGAGGGGGAGGGGGCGACAAGCCGACACTTCCCGGCTGTCGAGCAGTTAGTTGTGAGTTTTGGGGAGCTCTCCTTCTCTGACCTGCCCTCTGCACCTTCTAAGCTCAGCCGTCTTGTCGGGGGGCTGGCGGGGCTCGAGAGAGTCTTTTTTAGCGATTTGTCTAGCGCCTCTGTGGCCTGTGAGCTGCTATCATACCTCTCTGTGCCACGCCTTAGTGAGGTCGAGATTGCCGAGCCTCTGTCGCATGAGTGGCCAGCCAGCGTGCCAGCGGAATGGAGCTTTCGCTCACCTCCCATAGAGCGCCTGGTGACCGCCCCTCTCGAGGTCGACCCAGATCAGTGGTCTAGCAAGGAGGGTGTGCATTTGTTTCTGCAGTTGGTGTCGACTCTGCGCCCATCGCGTGTCGACCTCACTGCAATACTGCATGATGATGAGTTGGAGGGAGAGGGGGAGGGGGAGCAAGGTGACGATGCATCTAGGCTGCTCCAGGCCGCCCGTGCATTCGCGTGGGAGTGCAACGACCGTGTTCAGGCGCTCTACACGATGACGGGCGGCTCATGTGAGCAAGTCGATGTGGAACAGTACCGTCTCACCATGCAGCTAGCTGCCAAGTGAGTGACTCAGTGGCCGTACCAACTACTCTTGTACAGTCTGTCTGTGTGCATAGAAGGATAGGTGGATGGATGGATGGATGGTGTGCCGGCGCCGACACTCCGGTGACTGCCGTTTTGCTCATGACCAAGCCGATTGTGTGTCTGCCTGACTCGTTCTTCCACGCTGCCCCTTCTTCTCTCGGCCTTTGCTCGGCCGACCACCGGCAACACAGCCACCAGGTCGGCCGAGGGGGGCTTGGAAAGGGCGGACAGCAGAGACACAGTCTGGCCGGTGGGTGTACACATGCATGCGTGGCGAGACGGGCAGACGTGCGCGTGAATGAGATGAGAGGAATTGCGTGCTGCCTGGCCTGTGGTGGGTGAAGACATGCACCATGCAATGAGGCAATGAGTGGGTGGTGCATGGGCAGGGGGCGTTTCTCTGGTGGTCTGGTCATCAAGCACAAGTAGTTGAATGAGAGCCATCAATCAATTGTTCACACACACATGTAGAGGAGTCAGGCAGCTAGCTGTCCCCTCACACCACACACACCTCCCCCTCCCTCCATCCCCACTCCGCGGATGCTTCTGCTTGTGGTCCACAAACAGATCACTTCAGCAGCGCAATCTGTGAAATGAATCTAGGTACGTGTGCGGACGAAGAACACGCCTCTGTGTATGTGTGTGTGTGTGTGTGTGTATGTGTGTGTGTGTGTATGTGTGTGTGTGTGTAGAGGGGCCCATGCCGATGTGGCGTCTCTGCTGCTACAGCAAGCCTCTCGTCCTGGCGGCCACTAACCGATGCCATGTCTGTGTGTATTTCTCTGTCTGTCTGTCTGTCTGTCTGTCAGAGTCGCGGGGCATCAAGAGGAAGGTGTTGGTGAAGAGACCCCAATGCTGCTGTGTACCATATTAGGCACAACACACGGGTGGTGCTGGATGTATGGATGGGGAACGCCGGCTGTCGGTGTGACGCCTACAGCTGCGGCCCCGTGTGCATGTGTGTCGAGATGTGTGTGGGGGCATGTGAGGCCCTTCCTATTACTTCGGCGTCTGACAATATGTCAACAGACGAATGGGACATATGTGTCTGTATAGAGAGAGAGAGAGAGAGTCCCCAATGCATTGCCACACACCCATCTACAACACCCACACACACAGGCAGTCTGTCAGTCCACTCAAACACGCCACTGCTCCGCCCCATCACGCACACACACCGGCTGTCAGTCAGTCTCTCAAACACACCTGCGGCAATGGCCAGACAGACAGGGAGGCTCTCTGGACACTCGAGAGTTGAGAGATTAGCCAATTAGTCTACGGCTGCGGCCAGTTGGTTGCCGAACACCCTCTCTGCGTCGGCTCCCATCACCTGCCGCACCACCTTCACTGTCTCGGGGAACCTGCCGGCTCCGACCCCCATCACCGGAGGCTCCGTCGTGTGGAGGTAGGTGACGGCAACGGTGGGGGTGCTGAAGATGGAGATGTGGGTCTCGAATTGGTGGTCGGGCTTGTCGCCATGCAGCACTATCACTCGGTAGAAGTCTTCAAGTGCCGGACGGTGGCTGGTGCTGATGGTGTGACAGCCCCAGATGGGCGGCGGCTGAGTGGTCAGCTGCCGCTGAAGAGAAAGGCAGATATGACAATGAGCGAGTGGGGCAGCTGGTGAGGCAATCGTGTTGTGTGGGTGTGTATAACTGACCAGTCGGTTCAACCGTGTGGCATCGTTGGACCGGTCGACATACTGGACCACGGCCTCCGACCCTCCGAAACGCAACCTGACCGAACACATCACGGCAGAGCGGTGCAGCCAATGTGTTTGTGTGTTTGTGTGTATCCCATTCTACTCATCTCCCTCACTCCTCCAACACAGCGTCGCGAACTAAGCATACTCATTTACTATACACAGGCGGACACACGCAACCAAATGATCCATTGCCTTCCTCCCTCCCCTCCCCCTCTCGCTCACTGATCATCTCACACACGGGGTTCATCTCACACACGGGGTTGGCCTCGTCGTATCCATTGCGGAAGGGATGGTCGGCCGGCAGTGTCTGCAGTGGGCGGATGGTCAGCCGACGCCCATCCAGCCGCTCCTCGCCATTGAAGCGCAGCACAATCATGTTGATGTGCCGCTTGATGAGTGAGAGCTGCCGCACAGCCTCACACCGCCCGTCAAACACCGCCCGGCTGCCCACCGCCTCCACATCAGCACTGCTCAGCTCTATCGGCAACTGCCCGCCTCCCCGCCCCTGATGCTTGGCCACCCTGATGATCGGCACCGTCGCCGCCCACTCGCCACTCTGCTGGATGATGTGCAGGAGCCGCAGCAGATGACCGACGGATGGCATGTCATAGCTGAGGATCTCCTCGAGGCCCTTGGCGACGAGCTGTGCATACAGCAGCCGCAGCAGATGACCGACGGATGGCAGGTTGTAGTTGAGGATGGGCAGGTCATAGCTGATGATGTCCTGGAGGCCCTTGGCGACGAGCTGTGCATCGATCTGCGTCTTGACATAGGCCTCCGACACACGTTGGCTGCCGAGTGTGCAGGTGCGGCGGAGGCGGGCGAGGCCGCCGGGGCCGAGCAGAGCGAAGACGACGTCACGCTCGACGTCCGGTGGCAGGTCGAACAGGCCAATGTGCTGGCCGGGCTGAGGGGAAAGGCGGCAGAATGAGAGATATGTGTGGCTGTCTGTGTGGCTGTCTGTGTGGCTGTTTGTGTGTGTGTGTACCGTGTTGCCGTCGGACTGATCTCGGGGCGCTCTCTCGACTAACGCGAAGCCCTCATACATCTGCACACACCACAACACACACACACACACACACACAAGGTGGATCCCTCAGCAGCCACCAGGCCAATGGACACATGAGAATGCCTACCTGTTGGCCGTGCGGCGATGTGTTGGCCTGGTGCGGCACTTTAACAGTGAACTCCTTTGTCCCCTCTACCGCCCTCATGGACACTCTCGTCCCTCCGCCGGTCTCCTCAGTGCGATAGACGTCGGCCTTGACGTAGACCTGCTTGCTCTTCTCCCGATTGGCCGTCACCATCCACACACGAGTGCCGGTCTTGTAGCGCTCGCGGGACGACGGCGGCATCTGATGGATGGATGGATGAATGGATGAACCAAATGATTGAGTGAATGAGCTACACGTACCTGTGGCTGCGGGAGGTCTGCAGCAGCTGCAGATGAAGATGAGGCTGCAGCTGCCATGGCGCCGCACAGTGACTGGCCAAACACAGACGCCTGCAAACAAGAGTGCAGAGGCACAGAATGCGAATCCCATCCCTCCAGCTGGCCATTCCTCTCATCTTTCAACGCTCACCGATTCACAGATGTGAGTACGGCCTCTCAGTGAAGGCTTCTCATCGCCAAGAGCTCACAGTGAAAGCAGTGAGCGCCATTTGCATTACAATCCGGCGCGATCATCTCCCCCCAGCGGAGCTCGTAATGAGCGCTGGGCGGCAAGAAGGCACCCAGCTGCTGCGTCAGTGCAGGGGGAGCGAAGACAACGATGAATGAGTGAATGACTGGCACTGTGGCAGCTATCAGTCATTGCTTGCCTGGTCCTCCGGCGGAACACCACCGAATCCCATAAAGGGATTCTTCACAAGGTTCTTCACCATCGGGTTGTGCTTCTTGGGAGGAGAGGAAACCTGTGGGCGGGGGGAGACTGCGAGCTTTCTTGATCTCGACCCAAGGACGGTTGATCTCGACCGAAGGACAAGATATGGCATGCAGCGTGTTACCGATTTGCACTGATGGATGGCTCATTTCACTGGTATGCATTGATGTCGATGATGTCAATCCCAGCCGAGCTGAGCCTTTGCACTGCACACCACAGACATATAGTGCCCGCTCACGCAA